TTTTTTAGGTTGGAGCCCATCGGTTTAAGTTTGTGCAATAGCTATTGGGATGTCTTTCACAAGGAGATTCTCACCAAGTAGGCTCCAATATGGCTCAACTACTTGCTAAGAGACAACTTTTTGAACAAAACACATGAGGTTTTTACGAACACATGAAACACACCGTGGCCCTTGCAGCTTTTCACCTTGTTTTTCAGCTCTGTACAGTGGTTTGATGGCCTTTCTTGGGCTCCAAACTGATACGACACCAAAACATAGAAGCAATTCCAGTTTTTTGGAGGCCAAGTAAGCCTTAGGCGCTAAAGGGTCTCAGGGCTGGGCTCGAGGTCTGCGTGATCGGTCCTGTCGATTGAACGACACGTCGAAATCAAAACAGCTCACTGATGCTCTGTGACCCCCGATGAGAATGAGGTTTTTGGTGGCCCGCCTTCAAGAAAGACAGTGGAATTGAACAACTTAGCCCGAACAGCTCCAAAAAGTACAACTTTCAAGCGTGCGCCTTGGACCTCCTTGACTTATGGCGCTTTCGCCCTGGTGGAACTTTGAACAGTTAGGCTGGCTCTGGCGCACGCATTCTTTTCGTTTCTCTTTGTTTAATAGCGATGGCCTTCAACGCACATTTTGCAGAGCGTTTTCCAAGCGTCAGACTGGTCCGTTCGGGTTCCACAGGCGACACATACCTCGAACATGAGACACATCTGTGGCGATTCTAATTAAACTTAATTCTAATTAGATTCAATTCTAATTCTTGTTTCTAATAGCTTCTTGTTCCTAGTAGTAAGGCCAGGAGCCCCTAGTAGCATCCTTGCTCCTAGGGTCATGCAAACATTGTCACAAGTCTTTCGCAAATTCTTGGCCTTAGATCTTTTCAACACGCTCAAACTCTCACATTCTTTATTTGCTTTCCTGTTCAGGCAGGTCAAGATGAGAACTTTCCTTTCGGTGGTGGCCGTGCTGGCAAGCAAGAACACCTTTTCAGGCATCCTTGTAGCTTGGGCTAGTCACTAGTCAAAGAAGGATACGACACGGCATGTAAAGAAAACAAAAGTCGTGAGTTAAAACTCGAGAGGCCGAAGAAGCTAGTAGAAAACAAGTGCATCGCTTCTAATAACAAGTGCCTTACTAGTAGTGACAAGAAGCTAGTAGTAACAAAAAGAAAATAAACAGAAACAATAAGCTACTAGGAATTAGAATCAAATAAAATAGAAGCTATAGCGATGAACTCGAGAGGCCGAAAGGTTCCCAAAGTGTTCTGAAGAAAGAGACAACAATAGCGATGGCCTCCAACCTAGCTTCTTGTTCCTAGTAGCGATGCCAGGAGCTCC